TCAATGGTACTTTAATACTCCAGAGCTTGGCATAGGTTGGCTAACACAGTTAAAAAGGCAGAGAAACCAAGATGACCTGGCCTCTTGACATTACCACAAACTCAAATAACTAGACATTCTAGAAACAGAATTTGTACATCAAGAAATATAACTATGAAAATGTACTTCAAATTATTATAAATAATAGTAATAGCAGTTTTCACTTATTATATCAATAAATGAAATACTTCACACCTATTATTACATTTCATCTTCACCAAAACCCTACAAAATACGTGTAAAATTATCATAATTTTAGAGACCAGAAAACTAAGACACATAGAAGTAACTTTCCCATGGTCACACAGTACGTTTCCAAATCACTTATTACCATTAATACCACCACCACCTACTTCAAGCTTCATCTTAAATCAACGTTGATTCTTTCCTTCCTCAACCTCCCAGCTTAATTAATCTAGTAATTCTAATGATTGTTCCCCGATTTGATTATATTCAGCAAACGTGTATAGAGCACCCATTACGTATAAGGTGTTATACTAGAAAGACTGGTAACTTTTATATCCAAGTTTGGCAGGAAGAGACTGTTGCTTTCCCAAGAAAGAAAAGAACAGCTGAAGAAGGAGGGAAATTGATTTTATTTATGTCCTTCATACATTTAAAAGAAATAAAAGTAGTTAAATTAAGCATGACTGAGTTGGCAAATAATTCTCACATATGACACTTAGAATACAGCATATTTGCAAATGTATCCATGTGTTTAAATTCATGTAATTGTTAAATACAGATCTAGTGAATTCTGAGATACATGGGTTTAAGGCCAACACTTATATAGCACTCATCACGTATCAGACATTGATCTATGCAATTTCCATATATTGCCTTATTTAATCCTCAACAACCTCATGAAACAGATATCATTATCCCCATTTCACAGATGAATAAACTGAAGTACACTAGATTTAAATAACTTGTCCAGAATCTCACAGGTAGTAAGTGGCAGAGTTATGATTTATACCCAAGCAGTATGATTTCACAGTCTGTGCTCTTAAGCGCAGCCTTCTGAAAAAAAAAAAAAAAAAAAAAAAAAATCTGAAACTAGAATAAGTCATTAACACTTTAGTGAACAAGAACAACCACAATATTCTCTGGTCTTTATGCCTAGTACACCAACATTTCTATGCAATAAAGAATAAAAAACAAGGGAGAGAGGGAACAAACTCATTAACTAAATCTCTTGCCCATGTCTAAACTACCTGAGATTTTAATCACTCCTTTCAGTCTCAGGTGCTTTACCTTTATCACCACATTCACAAATTTCTAAAACTGGAAGTGCTATTCACAACATGATTCTATCTATATGTTCACGTGTGTGTCTATGCTCTCTGTACAGGTGGGCAGCAGGTGAAGACTGCAGAAAGGACTCTAACAAAAGTTGAGAGGTCTGCAGCTTACAAACCACAAATGTTGTGTTCCTTCCCTCTGGGTGTCTCAAACATGCTGAGACATGCTTAGGAAATGTGAAATCCACATTGCCTAAGAATGCTGACCATGCCTACCATTTCTTCTATAACCACTCTTAGGCACAATATCTATTTTTATGTCAATCTAGCGAAATCTCTTCACTGAATGGACTGCTGTAGGTACTTCTTATAACCAGAAACTTAACCACCTCTACACTGCAAGGCTACTTTTCAGGTGGATTTGGTAAAAGCAGGGGCAGACACAGACTGCAGCTGTGCTAGAGTGACTTTTCCTAATTCTGAAAGAATGGGTATAAGCCTAACACGGAGATGAGAAGTTTGTGACCACTTAACTACGTGACTCAGGTGGAGCTCATTTACGCACCAAGGCTACTATAGTAGCACGGTATCTTACAATTAAAGTCAGGACTCTGTAAGGCAACTAGCGTACATAGCAAACATTTCCCTTGAAAAGCTATTAAATAAAGAATAAGTTCAATCAACATGACTTTGTGTAGCTACTCCCATATAGTAACATATAATTATATAATATTAATAGGGTTCATTTGCCAAATACGGTTTCATATTATTGTAAAGAAAGTATTGTTTCTCCCTTATAGTTTAGCATGGGAATGGGAGAGGGATAGAATGGCAGCTCAGACAGTTCAATTCATGTAAGTTTAAAGCATGTATATTGTATCTCCAACAAATTACTAATTTTGCAGTATCTAATACCCTTTTTTTGGCCTACTAAGCATTTTTAAATGTCATAAAAAGTATAATAAAAAATTTCCATTTAGTGATGTTACTGAAAATCAAATTATTTTTAAATAATGCAATTTGCTGACAGAAATGTAATATTTACATAATATGATAAAGTCTAAATAAATTTCATTTACGTGATTTCTACTGAAGTATCTGCAATTTCACTGTTTAAGTTGACAAATTTTTAACAAGTCAAAACTAGTCTTTAGCCAACATTAATATTTATTTTTGAATTTAAGAACCTCAATGTACTTAAATAAGAATTTAAGAAATTCAATACACTAAAATAGGAGAATGAAGTACTTTAGTTGAGATTCTTATTAACACAATTATACCCATTTATGCTTATGATTATGAAAAAAAATGGTCAAGATGGTGAATGGTGTTAAAAGATGAAACCCCAAAAGCTGATAATTTCCCTATAAAGTAGTACTGAGGGAGGCTTCAAAGACAACCATAAAGTTCTCCTTGGCAAGAAGAGTTAAAGGGAGTAACAGCTGGAAATTGGATCCAGATTTCTGTTTGAAAATGATACCAAAAATCTCTTAACTATCTCATCAAACCTTTTAGATTTAGACGATGAGTAGGATAGAAGGAGAAAAATTAGTGAAAGAGTGGATTTCAATGGCAACAAAAATAAAGAAGGGTAGTATTAAATCTTCACTCTATCTGATCTCTCAATAGACAGTTAGAAATACATATGCGGTTCTATGGTTCTATGAAAACTAGCTTACTACATAATCAATTTAACTTTTCACTGTACATAATACATACTAAAAATAAACTAAGTAAAATACAGCATTTCAGTTTAACCTATAAATAGCAAAAAGAAAAGAAAGATTTGCTTTGGATTTCATGTCTGAAGGTAAACTTAATTTGAAGATCATAAATTACATAAGTGTTTGGATACATTAGTATGTTTTTTTCTCCTAAAATCCTATGTAGCACTCAAGGGGGGCGGTGGGGGAGTGGGGAACAGTGAAGAAAGCCTGAAAGAGAGATAAATATAAGGCACCCAGCCACCATTTAATACATTCTAAGAAATAACATGTTATTACAAAGTAACTCAAGCCTCTGAAAAAAATAATCCAATATTAATTAGTAGTATTGTGGGTTTCCCACTACATAAAACTCCTACCTTCAAAATCTAAACTGGATCCTATCTCACATGTTCGTAGTAATACTCAAAGAATCAGAAATGTTTAAGAGTGGAAGGAAATTTGACATCAACCAGTTTAAGTAGCCTCAAGACAAAAACAATGCGTCCAAGATTAAATGGCTAAGACAAAAATAATGTGTCCAAGATTAAATGGCTGATTCACAATACAGTTGATAGTAAAATTCAAGTCCTGACATACTCAGCATACGGCTCTTTACACTACAATGTAGCTTTCTCAGCCTCTGATTCTCAAAAGTGAAACACAAAAACCCACCTTTAACAGCCTCTTTATGCATCTTTTTGAATTCCATATGACTATCCCAGTTCTTTCCAAAGGATTTAAGATAAGTTATACATAGGCTACAGCCAAATACAACAGTAAAACCCCGTATTTTAAAAGGTATTTTAACTCAGCATTTTTCAAAGCAAACTTGTGTAATCCATACTGAGACTATGCATTTCAATCACTTACTCAGTTTTCCTCCCATTAAGGCAATTTGCTTCTAGGGTTAACTACCCATAAATCTTAAGCTAGTCTCTTTCTTCTCTTGGTTAATTCTGAGAGAAATGAGAAATTCATTCACTTAAAGTATGGCCTTTTGGAAAAGTCTCTCTCTCTCTTTCTCTTTTCTTTTCTTTTTTTTTTTTTTTTGAGATGGAGTCTCACTCTGTGGCCCAGGCTTGAGTCCAGGGGCATGATCTTGGCTCACTGCAACTCCGCCTCCCAGGTTCAGTGATACTCCTGCCTCAGCCTCCCAAGTAGCTGGGACTACAGGTGCCCACCCCCACGCCTTGGCTAATTTTTGTACTTTTAGTACAGATGGGGTTTCACCATGTTGGCTAGGCTGGTCTCGAACTTCTGACTTCAAGTGATCCACCTGCCTCAACCTCCCAAAGTGCTGGGATTACAGGCATGAACCACTGTGCCCAGCCTGGAAAAGTCTCTCTTAACCCCGTCAGTTTACCAGAGAAAGTCTGGGAGCAGAGTGCTTAATTTTATTCCAATTCTTTGATCTAATTTTCCATTTCCTGGTCTCATTTTATAAAGTTTTGGGGTTTTTTTCTTTTTGTTTTTTGTTGGAAAGGGCTCTAACCTTGTGACCTTAGTGTGTAGAAAGATGGCTTGGTCCTATTTCCTCTTAATTGTTAACCAAGAAATGTCATCCGTAATGTCTGTTTTGATATGCTTCCAAAAGGCAGGGCTACCGAGTTCCTGATGCAAAGGGCTGATGACTGTTGAAGCAAGGATGAGGGAGAGAGGCTGGAAGTTGGTACGTTGAAAGCCACTGCCATCTCGCAAAGCAAATAAACCAAACATATAGAAAAATGGCTAAATACATATGGAGAGCACTTAGGCATTCCAAGCTCTTTAGTACAGAGTACTGTAGACAGTTCAGGTGTACAAATAACACCAAGAATATTTAACTGTAGAAATAAAATAAATCTCCAAAGTTTGACAGCTTATAAAAAGAACTAAATGTACCAAAAAGGTACTGGGTATTCAATATTTCCATGAAAAGAAATTAATTTTCATTTCTCATAAGAAACAGAGAATATATGAAAGAAATTAGTCTGCCAAATTACAGTTTTAATCAAGGGTTGATCAGCAAACTTACTCTAGATGAATCATAGGAAGGACTTGGTTGACCACTTGTTCCCCAAGATGTTGTACCTCCTCTTTCATCCATACCTAAAAAGAGAAGAGAATAAAAGATATATCTGAAAACATACTTTTGTGGATTTTTTTTGGTATGGGACAGCACAGTACAATTCAGCAAGTGGTATTTGCGTTTTCATGGAACAGCTAAGTACCAATCCTTGCCTCAGAAACCTGTAAAATATAAGTTACTTCAAAGTATCTTCATCATTGTTCCATCAATCCTCAAGCAATACCCTATGTAAATTATAGAAATTCAGAATTAAAATATTTCTTTGCAGACTTTAGGATGGGTCATAGTCTCTCCATCCCGCCCCATGCCCTGCACTGCTACTTCTAGAAGTAGATGAACTCCCAAACTTTGTCTGGTTTAGTATTGCCTACATGAAAACATGAATAATTCATTCTTCATAGTTAAGCCCTAGAAAATGAAGCAAGACAATCATTTGATTTAATAAAGTTGGTTTCTTTCTGATCACTGATCAGATATTCTTAACTGATGACATCAAACTGAATCTAACTATATCAACCATATCAAATCAACATTAGTTATATAAAATCAAAATGACACTTCTGTGGTAACAGTTCCATCTCTTCTAAAATAACACACAATTTGATTTCAAATAAACAGTTCCACTCTTATGAAGGTGGCAAAAGAAAATTCACAGTGAGAAATAATGAGTTGCCATAACCAACAAAACAATTCATTGTGCACCCTTAATGCATCTTCGGATACTTGGGTTCCATTATTTTCACCTCCCAATCAGTCCCCAGAAAAAGCTGGAAGACTTGGATATCTCTCAATTCAGTCATTTCTACCTCTTCTGTTTTGAAGACTCCAGTCTTTTTCACCTTCGACTGCTAGCAGAGTACACTTCTCTAACCCCTTCTGAGTTTCATTCTATGATGAAATTCATCAACACAGAAATAGTTGACTTCTTTCTTTCATTCTTTCATGAGAACAGCCTGGATATTACAACGATAACATTCTGCTAAGTTTAGAAATTATCTTTCTTTCAAGATATTCCTGGAAGTCCCTCTGTAATTTCCCTGTAATTTACGTGAGAATGTGGTATGTAATAAATTAAATGCCACACATTCTCCACTAATTTGCAATGATTACCATGGCTCTTTTATAGTGACAGAATTACCAAATTGAAAGGATGGGTAACAAAAAGCAGGGAAGGGAGATGGGTCAGCTTCCAAAGTAGAATGTACTAATTACTAACTTAGTTATTAGGACCGTATTATTTTTATGAATCTGTACTTCTTGTATCAAATGATTAATGCATATTTTAATAATTTTTTTAAAAGAGTTAATACAAAAGATGAGTATCTAGTATAGACAACATTGCAGGCACAATTTCAAGTGAACCAGAGGCTTTGAAAACACAGAGATTATGTGAACAGTGTTTTGTTCATTCCTGTGGAGCTCGTATTAAAGTTCCAAATTTGAGAGATATTCTACGAGTTTGGGGGATGTGGTGTAAAAAACACTGTTACTGGCTGGGAGCAGTGGCTTCCGCCTGTAATCCCAACACTTTGGGAAGCTGAGGTGGGCGGATCACGAGGTCAGGAGATCGAGACCATCCTGGCTACCACGGTGAAACTTCGTCCCTACTAAAAATACAAAAAATTAGCCAGGCGTGGTGGCGGGCGACTATAGTCCCAGCTACTTGAGAGGATGAGGCAGGAGAATCGCTTGAACCTGGGAGGCGGAGGTTGCAGTGAGCCGAGATCGCACCACTGAACTCCAGCCTGGGCAACAGAGCAAGATTCCATCTCAAAAAACAAAAACAAAAACAAAAACAAAAACAACAACAAAAAAAACACTGTTACCATCTCTCCAGTATCATTAGATACCACTGAGCTATCTTCCAAGCATTTTCTTTGCAACCAACACTGTAGAATAGCAGCAAGTATTCCTCTAAGAGTCAATCCAAGAAAAAGGCGACTATAAGCCTACAAAATCCACTAATAAATGGAACTGCAAAAAATTTTATGAAAAGTTGTATTTTAAAAAATCACTTTTATTGGACATATAATGGAAAGTGATTTTGATGAATGTTGTCCTAATGAAAATAATCAAACCATAACTTAGTCTTTTTATGACTTTATATTTTCTTATATCAAATGATTAATAAATATGAGGCTTATGTGTATTTTAATTTTTATCTCATTTAGAGGCAGGGTTCTTGTTCTGTCATCCAGGCTGCATTGCAGTGGCATAATGATAGCTCACTGCAACCACAAAATCCTGGGCTCAAGTGATCCTCCCGCCTCAGGTTCCCTAGTGCTAGGACTATAGGAACATGCCACAATGCTCAGCTAATTATTATTATTATTTTTTATTTTGTAGAGACAGAGTCTTACACTATGTTGCCTAGGTTGGTCTTGAACTCCTGGCCTCCAGCAATCCTCCTGCCTTGGCCTCCTAAAGTGCTGGGATCACAGGTGTGAACCACCATGCCCAGTTTTGCATGTATTTTAAATACATTTGTAAAAATATAGAGAGGGAGGAAAAATGGGTGCCAGTTACAGAGAACATCTCAAGCAAAATTTAAGACACACACAAAATTATGTGAAACTATATATTCAATTTTCATCAAGTGACTTCTATAAAACAAAGAAAAAGCAAAGATTAATGAAATAAAATGGTAATTAATTAGGTGATGGAATCACCAGCTAAAGAGTAGTATATACCACTGATATTGGACATGACAAGGGGCTCAAAGAATGCTATAGAATAACAAGAATCTGGCTAGGTTTTAAACTCAAGCTCTGTAGTTTTATTGTTAACATATCCAGACTCTTAGTAAAAGGTCGTGGCTGGCACTGACAAAGGCAAGAGTCATCTTTTAGTATCAATGACTCCTTTCTGCTAAAGACAATGGCTGTACAAACACAGAAATATGACAGGAATAATAAACTTTCCAAAGCTTCAGCCATAAGACCAAGGTAAGCAGAAAAAGGAAATTACACACAGAAGATAAACAACACAGATATTACACAAATTGACCAAAATCTGAAAAAAATACTTATTGACAAGAAAATACACCACAGTTGCAATACAGTGATGAGGGGTAACATTTTTCCTTTTAAGGTATTTCTGAATTATCATTCCCATATTATTTCCATCATTCCCATTTCTAGTATATGCATGCCAATTCAACATTTCAGAGAAGTTAGTTCCTTGACTCATATACTAAAATGGTAGATGTAAGAGAAAGTTCAGCAATAATTAATGATAGAAACACTTTTGAGTCTTATTTGACTTTCTAATAAATTTTTTCCATTTCTATTCAACATGATTAAAAGGGGTGATCAATAATAGAAAGACTTCAATTATCCTTTTCCTTGTTAATCTTTTATGTAAATAATCTCTTAGTACCTGCTTTTCTGAATGGAACCAATTAAGCAAAATGCAATATATTCTGATTCTATGTGCTCCATTTTTAAAAGCATGCTGTTTTAACTTGGTATTTTCCAGTAAGGAACATTAAATTCTAGACCTCATATCTAAAAACAATAGTTTGTGAACAAAAGCAATCTGCCACCTTCTTTTGTGAAAACATTTAACAATAAAAGTAACTAAGAGCAATCATAAATTACTATATATACAGGCAGTTCCCTAAAAGGCTGAGACCTTAAAGAAGGAATAAAAAGGTGAAATGCAAGTTTTTAAGGTTTCAGAGAATAAGACTCTTAGAGGAACAGGTAAACTTCTTGGCCAAGTCCAACATTTGCCATTACTCCCCTTTCTAGGAAGAACACAGATTTAGACTACCTTCTTATGCTCTACTCCCATCTTAGTATTTGACCAAGAGTATTTTCTTTCTAGTGTCAATAAAAAACTATCCCACAGCTTCTCTCCTATTTCTTCCCTTTCATCAAGCCACCAGAGTCCTACAGGCATCTCTAGGTTTTGATTTACTACCAAAAACTGGAAACTGGATTTTTTTTTTTGGTGGGAGGAGATGCTTTTCTATGCCCGAAGCACCTATTGTGTTTCCCTCCATCCTCTCCCCCACCCCCCACCATATATAGGCCCTGTGAACAAATTATTATTAACACTGTGGAGTTTTAGTAAGTAAAGCAGCCTGAAAGTAAAAGGGAGGAATCAGGAGCAAAGCTGCTGACATGAACACCAGTTCCTTCTCTTCCCACTTGCCACTACCAGACCTATCACTAAAGACTCCGATACCCTGAACTAAGACTAGGGTAAAGTGAGAAATAAGACAGGAAATGGGAAAATATTTTAAGTTAGTAGTGGTGAGTCTGATGAGCCAAGAAAGAATGAAAGGATGAAACAGGGAGACAGCATACAAGAATGAGAGAAATGGTCAGGATATCCCTGCAGCAAAAGCAGTAAGAAAAGCAATTCAATCTGGCCATACTGGTAGGGTATCATAAATGAGAGCCTTCCCTGTGGGAAAGAGACACACATATAGTTGGGAGCAAGGGCACAGGGAAAATCACATACACATTTCTCTCTTTTTCTCCCCCCACCCTCTGATGCACATGTGCACTGTGCCTTTAGTAGCACTGAAATCAAATTTTTATTCAAGAAAGTAAAATGTACTCTAAAAATATCAAATCTCAGCACTGTCATAAATAAGGGAAACATAATATACTTTGCAGGATTGCCATCTGCTGTAGGGGGATCCAGCAAATGATTTGATGAAAGAATTCTGACTGGAGATAGCTGTATCACATAACCAAAGCTATGAATGTGTCTATCTTTAATAGTGTCTTTATTCAATTCTATTTGTAGAGTGAGGATATTCCTTTAGATAAGACTCAAAGGCTGCAATCAATTGTAAATTAATATATACCTAAAAAACCAACACCAAGATTTTTTATTGTATTTTTCACATTTTAGATGCTCATGAAATAAATCTACAAATGCATTTTCCCAGAAATACATTGTGAAATAGGATCAATTAGAATATAATGACAAGTGCTTTGTTATTTTGCTACACATTAATAAAAAAGGAAAAGTTAGGAAAATATTAAAATTGCAAGGGAATTTA